TTTTTTTTTACTGAATAAACCATTTGTAAAGTTTTCAAAGAGTAAGAGAGACCTGGGGCATGCCTTTGATATTCAGCTACAGACAAAGAACCAAGACTTGCATGCCTTTTCTGACTTGCAAGGCTTTTCTGATGAAGGGTCTAGGCCCGAAACGTCAGCCTCTCTGCTCCTATGATGCTGCTTGGCCTGCTGTGTTCATCCAGCCCTGCACCTTGTTGTCTCGGATTCTCCAGCATCTGCAGTTCCTACTATCTCCAATTTCATTGTTATGTTCTGTCACATTTTCACGTCAGTGACAAGAGTCACAACAGAACACATTAACACAGGAGAAGCTTATCATACAATTACATGTAAGGAGCTATTTCCTCCTTCTCGGGAAATGTTGGACATGAGAATCAAACAACAGGAAAGCTTTGGATTGCCATCCATCAAAATGGAGCTGGGAAAAGTGTCACAAGATCAGCATTATCAATGTTTTGTGAAAGTTTTGAGTTGTGGTTTGATACACAACGAGATAAGCGCAAAGGCTCTGTTCTTGCAGAATATTGGATTCAAAAGAAAAATTTACCTTGCAAAAATCTTGCATTCATGACACCTGTGAAGATGATCAGAGCACTACATGAGATTCTACTCTGGGATTCAAAGATGACATATATTCAGGATTGCATGTTTCTGCAGTGGGTACTTATGTGAGTGATCAGGCCAATTATTAATCTGCTGATCTTTAGAAACATGGGGAGGACATTCCATGAGGTAGGACAATCTGGATATGCCTCCTTTTCTTCACGTTACTGCTGCCATTGTCTTGTGATTAAGACATTGTGTATCAAACCATAATGTGGTTTGATGGACATGTTGTTGCACTTTTGAACGTCTAGTGGCAAGATCCTTCCAGTTTTTTTTAATTCATTAACGGGATGAGGACTTCGCTGGCTAGGCAGCATTTATTGTCCATCCCTAATTGCCTAGAGGGCAGTTCATTGTCAACAACATTGCTGTGGGTCTGGAGTCACATGTAGGCCAGACCAGGTAAGGATGGCAGTTTCCTTCCCTAAAGGACATTAGTCTACCAGTTGGGTTTTTCCAACAATTAGATTCTTAATTCCAGATATTTTTTGAATTCAAATTCCACCATCTGCCATGGTGGGATTCGAACCAGGGTCCCAGGATGTTATCCAGGTCTCTGGATTAACAGTCCAGCGATAATACCATTCGGCC